AACGCGGCCCACTGCTCCTATTTCAACACCCAGCTGATACAGGAGGATCAAGATAGTCTGCTTGAGCTTCCTAGGGTGACCTTGTCTCAAACAAAACAAAACAAAATGCAATTCTGTGCAATGTGTGTGTGTGTGTGTGTGTGTTGTCTGTGCATGCATGTGTGGTGTATATGTGTGTGTGAGCACGTATATGCATGTGTGTGCGTATATGCTTATGTGCATGGATGTGTGTGGTGTGTGTGTGTGAGCACGTAGATGTATGTGTACGTATATGCTTATGCATGTGTGTGTATGTGTACATGCATGTGTGTATGTAGGGGAGAGAGAGAGTTGGGGAAAGAGCTGTAGAAGAAACCAAAGGGAAAGTTCCATTGGATAGATTTTTTGGTTTGTAGTTTGCCTTGGTGGGTCACTCAGTCTAGGGGTTGTAACCCGCCTGGCTGATCAGTTATTCCAGGGTCCCGGAGAGGCGCTATCTGAAAGATATGGGTGGGAGAGAGGAAGAAGGCCACACTGCTAGGTTTGTCAGAGCCTCCATTTATTAGAGTCATGGTTACAGCTTATATAGCCCCTGGATGAGGAATTTGGGGGGACAGGGGCATGACCAGAGCAGGAAGGGATCTTGCAGCGTGGTCCAAGCCGGTCACAAGGTCATCAGCCAGGAGGTTAGGTCACGATTCCTTGGTCAGGTCAGGTCACAAGTTGACACACCTAGTTCTCTAGATAGTTGGAAGGTAGGGCGGGTTCTGCTAACAGATAGCTCTCTATTAACAGATAATTGGGTGTGGGATAGGCTCTGCCAATTTTGGGGGGAAATGGCTCCTGACATTGGTTGTTGTTTATCTTGTTGTGGTTGTTTTGTTGAGACAGAGTCATGTGATGTGGCACTGAGTAGACTGTAAAATCAGACAAAAGGATCCTTGTTGCTTTATGAAAGCTGAAGCAAGATGGCAGAACTTCGTGCTCTTCTACCTCTGTTGGAAATGTCAGACATTTGTGAGATGGAGGTCATAGCTCCTTACAGAGGTCTCAACAGAGACTTTGAGATGCTTGGGAAGCTCAGGGCAAAGGGGACTATGATTCTATGTCTTGTGGCTCTTCATCATGAAGAAATAAGGAAGGCAGATAAGAGAAAATACAAAATTAAGAGGGCCATATTTTAAATAGGCAATACAACAGAACATCCTGATTCTTAGCGTTCACATTTGTGAATTGGCCTAGTCTCTGAAATTATTCACATTTTATTTGGGGTGTGGCAGGCCTTGCTGTGTAGCTCTGGTTGGCCTCTAACTGATGGCAATCCTCCTGCCTCAACCTCTTAAGCACTAGGGTTACAGAAATGTACCATCATGCACAGCTTCAGAATGTATTTAGAGCCCAGAGTCAATACTTGTAGAATTTTAGACATGGACAGAACAGCAGAACTTGTGAACGTCTCTCTATCGTCGTTTTTCTCTGTTCTTTATTTCTTCTCTTACCTCTATTCAGATGAACCCTTTCTGTCTCTCTTGAAGTCTTCCTTCTAACTAAATTCATTTTTTCCCTTACAACTTATATACCCCGGGAAAATCTTTCAAGCAATATAAAGATTACAACATGGTTACATTCTATTTTTCAAAAGAATGATTACAATGAATACAAGTATAAAACAGCCTGTTTTCCGTATCTCCCATGTGATTAAACATTTTTTTGTATTACAGGTGAAAAGTTGTCCCAAGAACCCACACTCATTCATACCCAAGCAACTTGTTATCGATGAACACAGTGTAAGCAAGCGAGGGGTTGTTCTCAGCCAGTTCTTTTATTTGCAGGTTACATTTTGTGGTTACAAAGAAAGGACCAATCATTTTATTATTTATCGCAAAGGTAATCTTATAAGAAATCTTAGAAGAATCACAAATCTAAACTTTTATTTATAAAAAAGAATACGTGGGCTCCATTTTAAATCCTTGGGGTGCATACCCATTCATCAACAGTTTCTTCTTTAATTTTATTTTTTAAGAAAACTCTTTTTTCATTTTACATATCAATCCTAGTTCCCACTCCCTCCCCTCCTCCCATCCCTGCCACCATTCCTGCACCCCACCCCATCCCCTCCTCAGAGAGGGTAACACACGTGGCTTTGAGGAAAGCCCAAGGCCCTCCTTGCTATATCTAGGCTAAGCAACGTATCCGAATGTGAATGACAGTTGCATGGCTGGGATGGACTGCAGGCCACTGGCAGAGAGACCAGAATTTATTCTCACTGCTTGCACTGGCTTTTTGGAGCCCATTCTCTTTGATGGGATACCTTGCATCGACAGTGTTTTATATCAGAGAGCTGAGGGCAGAAATGATTACCAACCCTTCTCACAAGAAAGGTGCTCAGCCAGCAATAGCCAGGCTGTTATTATTCTTGTTCCCTGACCTCAACGAGGCCCTCGCTAAGTTATTAAAAATATTACTTTAAAATGTTTTTCAAGATTCTTTTTTACCTCAAAACCATTAACAAAAACATCTTTGCTTAACCTTAAGTCATAGCAAGCTTTTTTTTTTTTATGAGGCACACTGGAACCAGTGAACATATCTCTCAACATTAAGATCAAAAGAACTTGAGCTAACTTAGCTTCTGGGATTCAGTTTTTCTTAATCAATAACCTAAGCCACAGTCTATACGGCTCCTCAAGAGAAACTAGCTATGCGACATTTCCTTGTTCCTATTTTCTATCCTTTGCAGCCCCTTGTTTATCAGGGATGGGGCCAACACTTTAAATAGTATATCTTAGGAAGAAATTATCTTTATACTATTCCACTGGTAAAAATTTCCATGAGATAATCACTTCACGTTAAAGGCATTGGAGATCTCCCCACACCCATTCACACCATGCCAGATACCAGAGAAAAATGGCAGCTGTGAACATGGAAAGACACAGCAGTAGCAAAAGACATGCTGGGTCCAAAGCCCTACCACACTTGCAGTTCCGAGATTCACCCTGCTTGCTGGTGGGCTGATTCCCTGAAGTTAATTGCCGCCAGTTGTTCCTCTAACATGGCCACCAGCAACAAAAGAAACAAAAAAGGAAGGGTGTGATAGGTTCTGTGGTGCCAATGGCAGCACACCCACCCGAGATTTGGTCAAAGTCATTTTGTCTTTATCAACCAATATGGTAGACAGAGCACACAGGAAGTAAAAGAGCACTCAGTAGGTGGGGACAGGAAGGCCAGGAGTTTAAGGTCACCCTTGGCTACTTAGAGAATTCAAAGTTAGCCTGAGGTAGGATCAAACCTGACTGATCTGTGAAATCGGGGATATGAAGAGGCATTTGCACACCCATGCTCACAGCACTTATCCATGGCAATAACCAAGAGGTGGAAGCAGCTCCGATGCCCATCAACAGATGAGTAGATTTATCAGTTGTGTGCGTGGGTGCGTATGCACATGCATGCATGCGTGTGGGTGTGTGTGAGTATACAACATATAAATTGAGAAAAGGATATATATATATAAACATATCGAGAGAGAGAAAGAGGGGAGGAGGAAGGGAGGGACACAGACAAAGGAAGATGGAAATTATTTGTGATCACATATCGTGTCACGAGGAAATTATAATGGTAAAAATAAAATGGCGCTGTTCCCTGAGAGGTGACAGTGGGCAGCAGGCCACAAGTGGCAGCGAACCCCAGGCAGGGAACCGCATGGTGGGTCAGCCAGTCCCACGAGGAGCTGCGGTGGGTGAGAGACAGAGATGGATAGGCACGCCATGCATGAGGTTGGATATTTGTTTAGTGGGTTATGGAAGGGAAGGGGAAAGGGGACCTGGAGGGAAAAGGGAAAGGAGAGGAGAAGCTACCTCTTTAGGAGAGAGATGCAAAGGAAGAAGTTCAGGCGGGAAGCTGAAGGAAGATCCTCTTGCCTAGGCAGACAGGGGTGTGGGAGGTGCTTATCTCTTAAAGGGACAGAACAGACCATTACAGAAATTATGTCATATAACACAAGATAAATAAATCTTGAAGACATAATATAAAATAAAACAGGCCACCCACAAAAGTCCAGTATATCTAAAGTAGTCAGATTCATAGAAACCAGCAGGAGAACGGTGGTTCCAGGGTGAGAGAAATGGAGGGGAGTTTGTTGTTTAATGTGGAGAGAGATTCATGACACATACAAACAGCTCTGAGCTCTGTCTCGCAGCAACGTGAAGATATGTTTCCATCGTAAACTTAAAAATGGTCACTATAGTAAACTTGATGTATTTCTTCCAGTGCTGACAGCAAACCCCAGGGCCTTGCGCACAATACGCGTGTGCTCTACCATCGAACTACATCCCCAGCAGGGAGGGCCTGCCAGTGTAGGACAAGCTGGCCTCAAACTTCTTGTTCTCCTCCTCAGCTTCCCAAGTGCTAGGATTATAAGTATCCAACATACGTGGTGGTTTATGTTTTTTTTTAACCACAATAAAAATTATAAATGTAAGCCAGTGGTAGAGGCACATGCCTTTAATTCCAGCACTCGGGACGCAGAGGCAGGCAGATCTCTGTAAGTTCGAGGCCAGCCTGGTCTACAGAGCTAGTTCTAGGACAGGCAGGCTTGTTATACAGAGAAACAAACCCTGTTTCAAAAGACCAAAAATAAATAAATGAACCCATCATTTTGCACAATTAATATACAATAATAAAACATTATAAAGAAGTGTCGAGGCTGGACGAGGTTGGGCCCACTTTTAATCCCATCACTCAGGAGGCAGGAAGCAGAAGGATCTTGTGAGTTCAGGGCCAGCCTGGTGTCCATCACAAGCTCCAGGACAGCTAGGGCTACATAGAGAAACCCTATCTCTAAAAAAACAATAACAAAACAAACAACATCAACAACAAAAACGTGTTGGGGATCAAGATAAAAATCCTGTCTCAAAAAACAAAAACAAAAATCCATTCTGGAGTCACTCATCACGGCTAGTCACTTGACAGAATGAGTCTGCTGTGCTCAATAACGGTGGTGCAGTCTTTCCTTCCGTGTCTTCTAGGTGTTCCCAGAGTGTCCAGGTCGGTGAAAGAGAAGGTTTCACTGCCCTGTGGCTACAACTACTCTGTTGATGAGCTGGCCAGACTCCGGATCTACTGGCAGAAAGAGGGGAAAGTGGTACTGAGCTACGTCTCTGGGGATAAAGTAGTGTGGCCCCAATATAAGAACCGGACTTTACTCGACATCACAGACAACTTCCGTCTCATGATCCTGCGCCTGTTCCTGTCAGACAGGGGCTTGTATACCTGTGTTGTTCAAAGGCAAGAACAAGGGACTTACAAACGGAAGCACTTGGAATCTGTGGAGCTGTTGGTCAGAGGTGGGTAGGAGTCTCCGATTTACTGATTTGTAATGTCCTGAAAGTCTCGTCTCTACTGATGTAGGTGACAATTCTATCAAAGAAGGTGGAGTCGCATTTCCTACCTGAGGAGTGGGTTTCCAGTTTTACAGAGAATCTAACTGATGGTTCAAGGGGGAAAAAAAATCTGTCAGTGTGCTTTTCTTGTACTTGGACCACACACACAAAGCCACAGTAATCAGACCAGGCACTAGAGTGGTCTGAAATGCCTTCTGATTCTTGGGAATGTAACTTGAATGTGATGTGCCTGTGCTCTGAACTGCACTTGAGAACTTCCTATCACAGGTAACAAGTTAACTAGGTCACAGACTTTTGACCTTTCTGAATAATTTGTACCCCTACCTTTGTTCATAAACATCCTTATCTTCTCCACTGAGTGACCAAAACTTGTTACCTGAGTCATTTGAGATAAAAAGGACCAATCTTTTTTTTATTTGAACTGTGGTGTGTGTGTGTGTGTGTGTGTGTGTGTGTGTGTGTGTGTTTACAGTAGCCAGAAGAAGGTGCTGGATCCCTGGGAGCCACCCAATGTGAGTGCTGGCAACTGACCTTGGGTGTTCTGCAAAAGTAAATTAAGTTGAACACTTTACTCAGTACTTGGAACTGCTGAGCCATCCCTCCAGCCCCAAAGGGCTAATCTTTAGACAGCTCACAGTCTGCCAAGAGCTTCTGAGCAGTGATTCTAAACAGGTTATCTTGTGGAAGGGCTTGGACACAATGCTGAGTCTGTTGTGAGCTCAGTCAGGTGTGGAAACAATGGCTCTTAGCGAGCTGACTGGTTCTCAGAAAAGCAGAATGAATGAACATGAGTCGTGACTTCCAACATAAGATGCTCAGACTTGCTACTCCAGGGTAAAGCCATGATGTGTGGTTAATAGAAACAAAAGTAACATTTTTATGCTGGCTATCAGTTTAGTAACTTGACTGGGGGGTATGAGCTAGTAAGTAGAAAATAAAAATGCCAACTATAAGTAGCTCAGGAACACATCAAACTTTATTTAGGAGCAAGGCCCATTTTTTCTTTGTATTTTTTTCTTTGTTTTATTTTTGGTTTTTGACATAGAGTCTCACTATGTAGCTTTGGCTGGCCTGGAGGCTTCCATCAAACTCGAAGAGATTTACCACCAATTTATTATTATTATTATTATTATTATTATTATTATTATTATTATTATTGTTTAAAGTGACTTCCTCTCCAATAATATTAAGGGTTTTCCCTTTCCTGGTACCCTGTCAGTACTTGCCCTTCCCCCACTTCTCCCAGTACCACTATGCAGTTTTTTTTTTTGGTTTTTCGAGACAGGGTTTCTTTGTGGTTTTGGAGCCTGTCCTGGAACTAGCTCTTGTAGACCAGGCTGGTCTCGAACTCACAGAGATCCACCTGCCTCTGCCTCCCAAGTGCTGGAATTAAAGGCGTGCGCCACCACCGCCCGGCCAAACTGTATTCTTTTAAACACTGCTTGGCCCATTAACTCTAGCCCTTACAGGCTAATTCTCATATCCCGATCAACCCATCTCTTATAATCTGTGTAGCATCAGTCTTACAGGGAAAGATTCAGCATGTCTGACTTGGCAGCTTGCTTCATGGCGTCAGCCCGGAAGAAGAGGGAGCATGGCCTCTGAGCTCACTTCCTCTTCCTCCTAGCATTCTGTTCTGTTTACCCCGCCTATCTAAATTCTGCCCTATCAGATGGGCCAAGGCAGTTTTTTTTTTTTATTACCAATGACCTTCCTCCATCACCAATTAACCCACAGTCACAGAATAGACCTCAGTTGAAGAACTGCTCTTGGTGACCTCTGACCTCGGCTCACATGAGTTCTGCAGCACTCAGACTTCTAAGAAGAAAGTTCGTTCTATGGACTGAAGTGGGGGTTTGAGTCCCAAGTGATAGGGAGGAGTTAAATCCCTAACACCTGAGTGAGCAAGGAGTTCAGAGAAGTTTGCACACTTCGCTCTAAGCCTACTTTAGTATCCTACTGAAGGTCAGATACACAAATGGAGTCCTCTCCAGGAGGCCTCTATGTCCCTTCAAGGAATTGTATTGATGCAGGAAGGAATTAATAAAATGTCATGGCTGAGATTACAGATTCAATATTGTACATTTGGGATATAGTTTTATCCGAATACAAGCCTTTTTAAAAAAAAGTTAGAAAGGGTCTTACTCTTAGCCTAGGCTGGCCTGGTGGAACTCAATATATAACCCAGGCTGGCCTGGTGGAACTCAATATATAGCCCAGGCTGGCCTCAAAATCCTCCCACCTCAGCCTCCAAAGTACAGCCGAGTTACACGTGTGCCCTACCATGCTCAGCTGAACTTACTTTTTAAGAAGCAAGGGAGCACTGAGCACAGACTTGGGGTGGTGGCTACTGCGGGTGTTGAGGTTAGAGGTCCACAGGGGGGAGACCATATGAGTGGGTGTGGATGGGCTCCTGGTTCCTGGCTCCCAGGTTGGAGGTGGCTTCACCCATGTCCCTTACTAAAGAAACAGATAGAGGAGGCCACCTGTGAGCATCCAGTATCAGAATGAAAGGACAAAACAAGATAGATGGGTAAACAGCAGGCACAGCTCCTGGTATTGAGAAATGGGGACTGCGGATCTCAGTTCTGCCACAGGGCTGCGGGTTCCCCACACCTATTGGTGTAGAAAATAAAATTACAAACATCAATCCATCAGGTTAGGGCTATTTAACTTCTTTTTTGTTTGTTTATTTTGTTTTTCGAGGCAGGATTTCTCAGTGTAGCTTTGGAGCCTATACTAGAACTCACTCAGTAGACCAGGCTGACCTCAGACTCACAGAGATCCACCTGCCTCTGTCTCCTGAGGGCTGGGATTAAAGGCATGTGCTGCCACCGCCCAGCGCTATTTAACATTTTTTCATTTTGTTTGTTTGTTTTTTGAGACAGGGTCTCTCTCTAGGTAGCCTTGGAACTCCCTCTGTAGACTAGGCTGGCCTCAAACTCACAAAAATACACCTACCTTTACCTCCCCAGTGTTGAAATTAAAGGCATGTGCCACCCTGGTGGGCTTTGGGCTTTTTTTTTTTTTTAAGACAAGGTCTCACTCTATTTTCCAGGTTGGCCCCATACTTGTGGAATTCGAGCAAGCCTTCTCCCTCAGCCTAGGACTCCAGGCATGCCCTACCCTTTTCACTTGATGCATTACCCTATTAAATGGCAGTTCAACCTCCTAAGGTTGTCATACAGAGAATTTCCAGAGTTAACTGACAGGAACTCAATAAGCATTCAGTTTTCTCATCTCCTCTTAAAGTAGCAAACAGTACATTTATCCACACGAACCTATTGCTCTCTCTAAGAGCTTTCCTATCTCCTTCAAGCTAGGAGACAACAGACGTGACCAATTTAAACCAGCTCTTTTACTAACGACTTATAGAGACTTGCACATTCGACCTTATTCTGTCATCCTTTTTGAAGCTTGATCACTTATTGACCATCTACACACAGATCTGTACCTGTGTATAATTGCACGTTTGTTCTGTCTCCAGCTGACTACGCAATCCCTAATATAACTCACTTTGGAAATCCATCTGCGGACATTAGAAGAATAATGTGCTTCTCCTCTGGAGGTTTCCCGAAGCCTAACCTCTCCTGGTTGGTAAATGGAAAAGAAATAAGAGGCATCAATACAACAATTTCTCAGGATCCTGAATCTGAACTATACACTGTCAGCAGCCAACTGGATTTCAACGTGACATACAACCACAGCATTGTGTGCCACATAGCGTATGGAGACTCTCAAGTGTCAAAGAACTACACCTGGGAAAAACGTAAGCCACATTACCCTGGAAAGTGTCTACCGTAGGGTATCCAAAAGAATAACCCAGCCAGCTTTATGTTAGAACTGAACTCCCTGACTCTGATGGTAACGTTAGTCATGTTAGACATTCAGGATGTGTCGTTATGACTCGCTGACGTCACTAGACAGGTGATGGTGATATTACTAGACTCATTTTATTTTCTTTTAATAAATATTCTAAAATGTACAGGCCTAATAACGGCTGTCTTTTCTGAAAGCACCAAATTTTGTCCTTCTTTATAATTTCCTGACTCTGGCATTTTCAATCTCAATGGTCCCATGGTATCAAACCACTGTCTTTTTGGAATGGATTTTTGTTTTAGAACTACTCATTCACTCTGGGTGTGGGGCTGGAGCACATCCAAAGCCCTAGATTTGATCCCAACTTCTGGTTCATCCAGAGCCAAGTCTGGGAAAGTTATGTGATCAGAGTCTTTAAGGACAATGGCTGGGGATGGGTGGGAAATAGGTCATTTTGAGTCAATAGTTTTTCTTATAAGTAGTAAACTTATGGAATTCCCTTTCTCTAAAGGTGAAATTATAAAATGAAGAAACTGTTTTGATATAAACATATGTATCTGAAATTCGTGGCCGGTTTTCAGGGTTCTCAGATACCGGAATGTTCATCTAATTTGAAGGGCATTTGAATGAGCTTACTGAGGCCCATTAGGGACTCTCCTCCCACCTCAGCCCCACTCTAAGGACGTCTTCTGTGTCTGTGCAGTGCAGAAGCAAGGCAGTGTGACAGTCAGTAGTACATGTGCATTTAATGTGAGCGGCGGCATGGCTTCTGCCTTCCTCTTTATTTCCAGTTGACATAGCTCAGCGATTTTTTTTTCAGATCTGACCTGGATTCTTTTAACTATGTTCTTCTGTAGGTAATAACGAAATTTCCTGAGAACATTAGTTTCCAGTACAAACCTGCATGATTTTAACACCCCAAACTCATTTCTTCATCGCTTTTTATGTATTCTGAAATTTTACTTAAAAAAGTCTTGGCTCATAAAGTGGACACTAGTTTATTAATTTGAACTTCATTTTTACTTTAGAGAGCTATCACTAACAAGTTTTATATAATCTTTAAGGTGGGGATTTAGTTTAGTCAGCCATTTTTGTAATATGGGTATATGTGAGATTTAGGACAAAAGTGCTGGAATGTTGCTGGAAGAATTCAGACAGTATTTTAGACTCCGCAGGTCATGTAGACTCATCGCGATGCACCTGAATACGCACGCTCGTGTGAGCACGGTCTCGCTGTGCAGCCTGAGTTGGCCTTGACCTCATTCCAACCTCAGCCTCCCTGGAAATAGAGAAATGAGCTACTGCACATGACTGATTTCTAATTTCTCGTCTCAGGCCCTGTTGCTTTGACTGCTCATGGGGTCTGCTTTTGTCGACGGAGAGTTTTATTATTTTTTTAAGATAAATCTATTTATTTATTTATTATGTGTTCAGTATTCTACTTGCAAACCAGAAGAGGGCACCAAATCTCTCTATAGATGGCTGTGAGCCACCATGTGGTTGCTGGGAATTGAACTCAGGACCTCAGGAAGAGCAGCCAATGCTCTTAACCTCTGAGCCATCTCTCCAGCCCTTGATGGAGAGTTTTAAAGAAAAGCCTCAAATCTCACTAACCAGACAGCCATCATTGTTTGGGGCAAGAGTTAGGATAAGTGATTGTTTGTGAGATGAGTTTGGAGGCTAGTGAGTGGCAGATTAGAAAGATCCAGACTAAGAAGGTCCTGGGGGAAAGGGGCTCGGCATCAGGGGTCGTCTGAGACAGCACAGAAGTCCACGGGAGGCGGTTGGGAAATGAGAACAAGGAAGGTGTGACACTCTTGCTTGGGTGGCTGAGGATGCCGTTCAGGGCAGTGGCAAGTGTGGGCAGTAGACAGTGGGCTTTGTGGGGGAAACCGTGAGCTGGGAAAGATGGCTCAGCAGCTAAGAGTGTGGGCTGTTCTCCCAGAGGACCTGTCTTTCATGTCTAGCACCACAGAGTGGTTTATAAAAATCTGTAACTCCAGTCCCAGAAGAATTTGATGCCCTCTTCTGGCCTATGGTGCACAGACATACACACAGGCAAAACACCCACACACAGACAATAAAAACAGATAAAGCTTTAAGAAGAAAACACAGTGAATTTTGTTTGCATCAGTTGGCTTCCAGCCATGTGGTCAGCAGCTGGATCTATAATAAATACATCTAGAGTCAAGAAATGAGATAAGAAATGCAAGGTTCAAACTCAGAAATGAGATGGTATTTCAAGCTTTGGATGTGGATGAGATTATACTGGCAGACAGGGCCACAGACAGACACCATGGAAAGAAACAATGATATGGAGAAGCTAAGATGAGGAAAAAGTGCCTGCAAAGAAAGATGAATGTTACAAACAGAAACAGGGGAGTGTGGGATCTCAGATGCCAAGGACAAGGTGGTTCATGGGGCCAAAGGCTGAAATAAGCTCAAAGAGAAACTTCATCCACGAGGCTTGGTAATGGGAAAAGCTGAGAATGAATTAGTGTTTGAGATTTGCTTATAAGCCATTCCAGAGAAGCCAGAGAGGGAGGTTATGTTGCTAATATTCCCTTCAAATCATGTCCCTGGCCTTTCTTCAGATGTTGCAAATTCTCAAAGCGATTAAGAAATGAATGGTATAGCTGCTACCTCAGTGAGGACTGGATGGCAGCAATACACACATCAATCTCTTTGTCCTGCTGCCCCAGCGGGCTTTGTATCGGCCATGTGCTCCATGTGAGACTAGACATTCATCAGAAGCTATCACACATGGCTGTCTTCCAGTCTGGCCCTCTAATACCAATTCAGAGCCATTGTTGGCTCCCTTAGTCTCCCCCAAACTTAGGACTGGAGGGCAAAAACAGATGAATCCTGAAGAGAATGCGAAGCCTCCTGAATCTTCAGGCAACCCCTCCATGGAGTATAAGAGTGGAGGTGGAGGATGTGAAGAGACCATGCAAGAGAAAGACAGGGGGTGTAATAGAGGAGAAAAGAGTAGGTCTGTCTGTTTATATTATGACATTGCTAGTAAGACTCAGTCATATCAGCTACAGAAATGAACTGTGGAGATAATAGCTTTTAAGGTATCTCCTTAGAATCTTCCTTCATGCCAAGTTAGCTCAGGCAATGCAAACGCTCATGTTACTTTTTTCATCTTCAGTATCTATCATTTGAACGTTAGCTGCCCACGATATGTTCTTGGTAGGATTGTGCAGAAGAGTGTGGATCTGTGTATCTGGCATAGTCAAAGATTCTCCACAGGTGTGCGGTGAAGAGGCACAGGATGGGAACCTGGCAATGGGCTGCACATTACAACTGATACTATTTTTTTTTCTCTCCACAGCCCCAGAAGCCCCTCCTGACAGAAATCACACAACCACAATCTTAATAATTGGGTTAGGAGTCATTTTTGCAATACCTATAGCCTTCATTATATACAGTAAGTACTACCTTCATCATCATGATTAATCCATGGAAGCCTAGACTCCATCATGCACGTCAGCACATCTTTGGCATCCCAGTCTAGTCTTTGATCATGTTTGCAGCAAATCTACAGGAACTTTAGATTCTTAATTATTTCTCTCATCAAATTCTGTCCATTCACCATAGAAAGAAAATCCTGGATCCCTACTGTATACCTAGGATTCTCCGAGGCATCAAAATTCTGAAGACAGAAAGTCATGGTTCTTAAGACCCAGTCTATAATCTCTGCACTCATGAGACTGAAGCAGGAGGACAGACAGCTAGAAACTGGACTGAGCTACACAGGAACTTTGAGGCTATAGCAAAGTCCTGTCTTAAAAGAGATGAGTGTATTTTAGATCAATCTTGCCAATTTCCCATACTTTCTATTTTTTTGGAGACACCGATGTTTTAGACTACTTTGAAAGCATCTCTGATGCTGACTGACACTCTCATCTCTGGATCTGGAGGAAAGGAAGAATGACAAGGTTCAGAGGCAGAGTCTTTTCTTTGGTAGAGATCACTAAGACCTAGGAAGCTAGATGCCATAAATTGGTGCGGGACAATTCTGTATTCTGTCAATTATGTTTAAATAAATGCTGATTGGCCAGTAGCCAGGCAGAAAGTATAGGCAAGACAACCAGACAGAAAGTAGAGGTAGGGCAAGGGGAACAGGAGGATTCTGGGAAGGAGGAAGCCCATTCTTTCTGAAGTCCTGCCCAGACACCGAAGAAGCAGGATGTGCTCTGCCCTGCTGAAAAAGGTACTGAGCCATGTGGCTAACATAGGTAAGAATAATGGGTTAATATAAGCTATGAGTTAATAAGAAGCCTGAGCTAATGGACCAATCAGTTTATAACTTATAGAGACCTCAGTGTGATTTTCTCTGGGACTAAATGGCTAGGGAATGGGGCAGACAGAAACCTCAGTCAACAATAAATGGCTTTTGCCAATCCTCAATTATTCAAAATATTTTTGTATCAATGAGGCTGTAGTTGGTTAGAAGATATGTTTAGGAAACTATAGGTTTTTAAATTGTGGCATTAGATATGGCCTGCCCTCAATCTCCACGATTGACTAAAGAGGACTTTCTAGTTCAGACCTATGGTCATAATCACCCAGAAGCTATCAACTAGACTAGGAGTCACAGCTCCTGAGCAAATCAAATTAGAAGAGTAACATCTGCTGACTTTTTTTTTTGGGGGGGGGGGGTTTCGAGACAGGGTTTCTCTGTGGCTTTGGAGCCTGTCCTGGAACTAGCTCTGTAGACCAGGCTGGTCTCGAACTCACAGAGATCTGCCTGCCTCTGCCTCCCGAGTGCTGGGATTAAAGGCATGCGCCACCATTGCCCGGCTTCATCTGCTGACTTTATAACCTTCAGCACACAAAACAAAAAAGGTCAAAGCTCAAATAGACGTTATGCTCTGCTATGAGAAGATCACCTTAAGATACAAAAGCCAGTGAACTCATGATGTTTCTAAAACAAATTAACTAATCTTACTCTCCAGTTCAGAGTCTGTCATTCTCACCACTACATTGGCCTTTGGGGTCCAAATAATACTTTGTTATAGTAGAATTTTACTATATATAAGATGTTCACAAGAGGATGCTTCCTCATCTTTCCACAAACAACAATAACAGCAAGACATTTTTTCAGGAATTGCCAATTGTCCCTGGAGATGGGAGGGAGGTATTTGAAACTCTCCTGGTTTAAGAACCATACTCTAGGTATAAGATAGTAGTGGGATGTTTCGCTGAAATACAGAGGCATGATTTATGGGATCCTCATCTGTTGTTATAATTTATGCTTCTCTTCAAGGACGTTTCAAAAGAAGGAATGAGGCAAGCGAAAAAGAAAACAACATCATTTACCTAGGGCCTGTAGAAGTATCAACCGAACAGAATGTCTGAAGGTAACCATCTACCTTCCTTTAGCCCTTCTCTACCCATGTGGCATACATGGTATTATGTGGATCATGAGGTACAATCTTCCTTTCAGCACTGTGATAGCTGATCTTTTGGACGACTGGACACAAAATAGAAGAGAAAACCCTTAAATGAGGATTTCTCTCCCTCAGGTTGCCTGCGAGCAAGTTTGAGCACTTGCTAGGTTGATGATTGACAGGGGAGGGCCCAGACCACTATGGGTAGTGACATTGCTCAGCAGGTGATCCTGGATGATAGGAGAAAGAGGAATGAGAAAGATGGGGAGTGAGGCAGTAGACGGCATCCTTTCATAGCCTTCACATCAGTCCCTGCTTCGTTTCTTGCTTGAGTTTCTACTTGCTTTACCTCGATGATGAGAACCTATAAGATGTAAACCTCCTCCTCCCCCAAATTTCTTTAGTTCAGTGTTTTATCACAACAACAGAAACCTAGGTAGGACATATATTGGTGGCAGGAGTGGGGTATTGTGTACTGACAGACCTGACCATATTGTTATAGGGAGGACTGTGCAGTGCTTAGAGAGCTCTGGAAAAGCCATTGGTGCTTAATGCTCAATTCCTTGCTGCCTGTGGCATTGGGGGAGCTAGCCGGGGCAGAGCTGGAGAGCTCACCCTGGTGATGAGGTCGTAGAGCTGGTGGGCTAACCAAACTCAGCTACCACCCAGGCCCACATCCATGGCTATGAGTTGATCCACCCCACCAGTGAATTGCTGGAGCACACGAAGGAGCTGGTCCAGCATATCTTCAATGTTTTCCATGGCATGGTTTGCAGTCAGTTCATGTGAAATGCCGCGGTGCCTGCAGTGAAAACACACACTTTGGATTTGGTCCTGTGACTCCACATGAACTAGAACAGTGGAAGTCCTAAATGCTCTTCCAGCCAGTGGGGTGAACACAGCATTAACTTCTGTGAAAATCACAGTTAACACCGGTCAAATGTGTGCATTTCTAGAACTCCATGGTCTTTTATGGAAGAGAACAATGGGACTGAATGTATGTCTTTCAAAGCTCAAAGCAAAGGTCAGGTTGGAGGCACAGTTCATAGTCTACTACTTTTACTGGACTGGCAATCTCTTTAGGCTAGTTTGGCCCTTTACACAATACTTGAGATAAGTTCTCATCTAAAATGAGATTATTTACTAAGTAGTAATCTATCTTCACATAAGTGACTGAGGTGATACTAGCCTTCCATAGAACTTCCAGACGCCTTGAAGTGGCTTTTGCTCTTTGGTATTTCTTGATCTGCTACCAATGGAGAACTGAGAAGCAAAACCTAAGAGGTCACTTGGAGTATCGGGTGCTTAATAAACATTTGCTTGGTGAATACACTGCATTTCATGCAATAAAAATTAGACTATTTTTATATTCCTTATCAGGTATCTATTATGTTACCTCAAGTTAAGTATATAGTTGGCCTTGAGGTTTAAAACATAGTATTTTTCTCTCTTCAAATATTAGGGTTGAAGTAGTCATTTATTTCTTTTGTTCCCTCAGGTCTCACCTACATTTGCTACCGGCCTCTTCTGTAAATGTCTTCAGGAATCTAAAGACTACCCAACAGTGCCTTGCAAACATGTGTTCTCTAGGCGATGCCTCTCCAGTGTTTTTGCAGAAGACCAGAGAGGGATGTAACACATACTACAGTAGCCATGTAGATCTTGAGAAAGCAGTTTAGAGACTGAATTCTTTGTCTGGAAGGGACATTGGGGAACACTAGCACATCTGCCCAACTACCATAGACCCGCACAATGTTTTAAAGTAGGATACACACATACACACAAACACCTGGTGTTTTAAGATAGGGTCTTACCCTGTTGCTCAAGGTGACGTAGAAGTCACTATATGGCCCAGATAAGTTTCAAACACGCGGCAATCCTCCTGCACTAACTAGTGCCAGAATTACAGGTGTGAGCTACCACACTTGGTAGAACACTAGTTGTATTAATGAAGACACTGAGTGAGGCTCCAGGAGGGGACCTGAATTTTGAAGGTGAGTCAGAATCCAGACTTCCCGGCTCTACTGCTCTCTCAGTTAGACCCTAAGCTCTGAGCTCGTAGATAAGCTAATTTGAAATGCTGGTATTACTTGCCTAGCATCTATGAGGCTCTAGGTGCTTTTTGTTTGTTTTTGGAGATAGGGTCCCTCTGTATCTGTAGCTCTGGCTGTTCTGACACTCACCTTGTAAATCAGGCTGGCCTCGAACTCAGAGACCCATGTGTCTCTGCCTCCCTAGTGCTGGGATTAAAGGCATGTGCCACCACTGCCCAGCTGTTTGTTTTCCTAAGGCCTATTGGGCCTAGTGTAATTTGTAGGAAATATTTTGGTATGTATACCCATACAAGGGTAATAAAAATATTAGTAATTTAGTAATTTTCAGTCTGCATTTTTTCATGTATTTTCCTTTCATTTTCTCGAGTTCAAGAGAAAACAGAATAATCAAACATGATTTTTTTTTTCTGGTATCTAACATGAATGTATGTCTTTCAAACCTCAAAGCAAAAGTCAGGTTGGAGGCACACTTCATAGTCTACTAGTTCATATTGGACTGGCAATCTCTTTAGGCTAGTTTGCCCCTTTACACAATACTTGAGATAAGTTCTCATTTAAAATGAGATCATTTACTAAGTAGTAATCTATCTTCACATAAGTGACTGAGGTGATACTAGCCTTCCATAGAACTTCCAGATGCCTTGAAGTGGCTTTTGCTCCTTGGTATTTCTTCATCTGCTACCAATGGAGAACTGAGAAGTAACACGTAAGTCAGACACAGTAGCACACACCTGTAATCCCAGCACTGGATGGGGAGGGGGAGGTGTTAAGGCAGGAGGATTGAATTCCAGGCAGCATGGGTTGCATAAGACCCTAAGACCCACCTTCTCTCTGACCCCCAAAGGAAGGGAAAACAAGAAGTAGCCACTGCCGCTTCTACGTTGAAGGTTCCCTTTTCTCTGAAATCATCATCCACAACTTAACACAAGGGCAGGAGTGGATTTGACTTAAGACAAGACAGTCAGATATTCTCATTTGAAAATTTGGAGTTGGACATCAAAAGGCAGCCAAGTCTCTCAATGTGGCTGGATGAGTAATTTTAAGGACTCTGTTGTACTGTCCAAGAAATGGGCCCATTTTTATATGGCTGCTCTCAGAACAAGTCACCAAAGAAGATAAAAAGCAGTGGACTGGCAAGAAGCTGGCGAAACATTGGAAGCAAACCCAAACAAGAGCGGGAGAAGCTGCTGTGTTTAACTAAGACTCAATGATCTTTAGGCTGACCAAATGAGACATCAAGAAGATTAAGTGATAAAAAGGAACAATCTATGGAGCAACTTAGGAAGTAAGCTGTATTAAATTATTGACTACTACATTTGATAAATGTTTTTTAGAGGTATACTTTATTACTCAGGTATTTTTTAGGTTAAAAGTAAAATTATTTTTAAAAGCGACTCTCTAGTTTTATGAATTTTTTAAAGATCTCGTCTGTGTAAAACAAGGAGTAGGATGATCTTGCTGATCTGTCATTTTTAAGGGGGTAATTATAGAAGACACGATTCATGAGAATGGTTCTAACACATAATTCACTGTGCCAATATGCCTGTGTAGAGGCTTTATATCCTTACAGCTATGAATATTTACTATCATCTAAGTATTGTGCTAAAATTTTTGTTGGGAAAAGTTCATGCACATATGCATCCCTCCTCCCTATACGTTTACCAACACAGAAGACTTCTGTGGCCACCATAGCTGTGGGAGTTTCTCCCAGCCAGCCAGGAAGCCGGATGGACAACAATTCCACTGTCTCCAAGGCCCTCCTTGTGTGATGAATTTGCTTGATGAGCAAATCTCAGGCTGCAGGAAACACACCTAACTGGAACATGCCTTGGGCAAAACATGGGGAAGTGAGGAGTTTCTGCACCTTCCCTACAGGCCCGCCTCTGGGAACCAGCAGCACTCCGCCACTGTCCAGCTGGGCAGTCAGGGAAGCCTCACAGGCACAGTGATTACATTTCTCAGCTCATCTCCCTAAGCAGAGGTTGTGAGCCGGAACAGGAAGCGCCTGTTCTTGTAGATGACCCGGTCCTCATCCCCAAGAGGCCACCAGCCTTCCTGCGACTCTGCAACACGTACAAAGAAAGATACTATCACTTGTGGTTTCCAGGATTCAGGAAGCTGGGTGTCAAGGACGAAATGCAAATATATACTTAATACTATCACCCTCAAATAATCTCATTTAATGTCTACTTCCAAACATATACTACCATACTTAGTGAAAAATCTGAGCCTCCAAGTCCAATGGGGCTGAGGCTCTAACTCAGAGGCTGCTTGCCTAGTATGTGCGAGACTCCAGGGTTATCAAATGCTTTTGCAGTAAGTCACACAGTGAGTGGTTTGTCCCTGGAGGCTTCACCTTTAGCACTGTGCTATGCTGTTGTTACAGACCTCGCTTCAGAGTAGACCCAATTCACCGAGAGAATGCTAGCAGTTCCTTCCCTCCGTCAGATCCACAGGATGTATTCCAGGACCACAGTGGACGCCTGAAGCTGTACACAGTGCAGGGTCCTCAACACAGCAGTGATGCTCCCTTTCCCTCAAAGGGCACACTGCGAGCCTGTCTTAGTGCGCGTGAGCTGTCAGCAGCACTACCCATGCACCCTGGAGCCACTGTTAAAGGCCACTGTTTTAACACAGGCACTGTCATTCCACGGACTCAATTTGATAACCAAGATCAGGTGACAGACGGACAGACACAGAGTGGGGAATGCCAGGCCAAGGAGTATGTGCTATCTCAGGAGGCCTGGGGTGAGATTTCATCATCCAACCTAGAAAGGCACAACATTTAAAACTTGGAAACTTGGTCCTCCTGGAATCTTCCATTTAATATTTCCAGACCAAAGCTAACTGCAAGCAACTAAAGCTAAAGAAAGCAAAACCAAAGACTAGAGAAGTGCTGCCCGTGTAGTTCAGT